GGGGGGGGGGAGATGAAGAGGGTTGGAATTGATTGACCACTGAGGATAAGAAAAGCAGTGCACAAGAAATCTAGGGAGCGTATGGTTTCTGTTCTAGGCTCTGGAAAGAAAGCACTCTTTGGAGAAAGAAAAGTTGAGTCTTAATCACTAGGTGACTTTTTCCCATGCCAGTATAGTTGTTTAAGGCAAACTAAGTCTTGACCTTGCTAACAAGATTGGAGCAGAGAGTTGCAACCTGACCCATATGCTTGTGCCCAAAACATTGAGCCATCAGCTTCAGCTATGTTCTAATGAAACCCCAGGGCCTGCTGTTATAGCTCCTGCTAGCACTCAGCTCAACTAGCTTGGAAATGGCATACCTAGAGGGGGGAGAGCCCATGCATCTGTGAGACAGATATGCTCAATGTCAGCCCTTTTGCCTCCTACTTCCACACCATGGGGTAGGGACACATGGCATTTACTTCACGTAAACAGGTCTTTGATCTCATTAATTCAGTCTACAGTTGCACAAACCATTCTAGGGCCTCTTCCATAAAGCATCAGGTTCTGTTCACCAAAGCACCATAGGGGCAAGCTGCTCAGCTCCCTGTGCAATCCCCTCATCTCAACTGCTCCATAAACTGTACCCTTTGAGAATTTCTAATGGTTCAAACTGGACATTTTTGGTCTTTGTCTCCTGTACTTGTTTAATAACTCATGGGGCTTCCTGTCTTCAGACTTGTTTACCTAAGGATAGGGGAGAGTATTTCTGGGAAGAGTGTCATGCTATCTGATCATATCATATTTGAGATGGTATTCTGTCTTCTGCCTTGCATTCTTTTTTTGTTTTTTGCTTTTTTTAGTGTAGATTTTATTTTTAATTTTTTTTTCAACGTTTTTTATTTATTTTGGGGACAGAGAGAGACAGAGCATGAACGGGGGAGGGGCAGAGAGAGAGGGAGACACAGAATTGGAAACAGGCTCCAGGCTCTGAGCCATCAGCCCAGAGCCTGACGCGGGGCTCGAACTCCCGGACCGCGAGATCGTGACCTGGCTGAAGTCGGACGCTTAACCGACTGCGCCACCCAGGCGCCCCTAGATTTTATTTTTAAATAATTTTTACACCCAACGTAGAGTTCGAACTTACAACCCCGAGATCAAGAGGCACATGTTTTACCGACTGAGCCAGCCAGATGCCCCTCTACTCATTCCTTGACACATGGCCTGGAATGTAGTGTTGCCTGGTAAACGTTGAATGAATACTAATACCACACCTTTCAGAGCCTCCATTTATACGTATAAAATGAGAATAGTAATTCATGCCTGTCTCAGAGTTGCTGTGAGGCTTAAGTTGGAAAATATGTGAACGTATTATGCCAAGTGCTACTCTGCAAGCATAAATATGAAATTCCCGTTGTCACAATCATAATGTTTGTAGACAACTCGTTAAAAGGCCCATTGTCTCATAAGCATCTCAAATGTGTGATCTTAAAAAGCATCTTAAAAATGTGATCTTCCTTGGGGTGCCTGGCTGGCTCAGTCAATGGAGTATGCAACTTTTGATCTTGGGATTGTAAGTTTGAGCTCCACGTTGGGCCCAGAGCTTACTTTAAGGGGGAAAAATGTGATCTTCCTTCCTTCTAAAAATCTGCTCTTACTCCAGAATTCCTCATTCAGTAAAAGGTACTTCATAAACCCAGTCACCCAGGCTAGAAACCTAAAAGGCATTCTTTTTTTTTTTATTAAGTTATAAAAATTCTATTTCATTTTATCATTCCTTCAAATTTGAGTTGAAAAGATTTTCTTTTTAGTTGTTGTAATTGACATATAACATTATATTAGTTTTAGGTATACATTATAATGATTTGATATTTGTATATATTGTGAAATGATCACCATAGTAAGTCTAGTTAACATCTATGACCACACATAGTTACAAATTTTTTTTCTTGTGATAAGAACTTCTATGATCTACTCTCTTGGAAACTTTGAAGTATGCAATACCATATCATTAACTATAATCACCATGCTGAATATTACATGTCCATGACTGATTCAATTTATAAGGCCGTTCTTTTTTTTTTTTTTTTT